CGCAACTCTCTCCGCGCACTCATGTCTCTTGCGCCATTTACAAATTGCTCCTTAAGCACACGGTCTTGCATCAGGCGCAAGGCATCACGTTCCGGGCCTTAAGCCGCCTGCTCCATACGATTATGAAACCGCATTAAAACCCGGCTAAAATCTGCCAGTGACTCTTCCGGTAATTGTTTCCGCGCATACAGTGCACTAGTCAGCGAGGACACGCTTTCGGAGGTGCCAAATCTGTTACTCAGGAGGGTGATTACCTTGGGTAGGGTGTCCCTTTCATCCTGGGGCGCGCATAGTATTTCCTCTTTTGCTATTCCGCCCAAGTGGTCCACAAATTCCCCAACTTGTCTATCACCCTCGAGCCCTAACTGCCGTGAATAACGCTCAAATTCCTCAAGCCATTCGTTTATGGTCAAATCCCCAGGCTTGCGAGGGGGCCACAGAACTTCACCAGACTAACCTTTGGTGTTGGTGTGATTTTCAAATTTCCAAAAGCATTCGCCAACGTCTGTGCTAAGGCCTCGTTAGACCTTGTGATTACTTCACCCATAGCTTCTGGTAAGGCCATAACTGAATACCGTTACCGCGCAAAATTGGCAAAATTTCAAACGCCAGAAAGGTCAATACCCGAGCAAAGAAAAATTGTTTCAAGACACCCCAGCGCTTTAAACAAACACTTTTACCCTTGCAAAGTCACAATTACAATTAAAAATTAGAATCCGACTTATGGCAATAAAATACACTTTATTTATGGTATACAGTCAATGATGTCCGACAACAAAACAATGTGTCTTATTTACCACACTTCTCCATGTGTTGGGGGTCCACATAAAATTACAAGGAAAACAATTTACATGTAGTCAACAAATATAACCCTATATATTCTTGAATCTTCTCTATCCTGTCTACGACGCCACTTGTAGTAACCTCCTCGAGGGGCAGGGGTTGGGTGGAGTCTCGTTATCAACTCCGAGGAGGGGAAATGATCCCGGGTTCCGGGCAAGAAGAAACAAAGAGTCTTGAGACACCGATGTATCCCCAAAATCTACTGGTTTGTTATGAGACTGAGATCCAAAAATCAAAAATGTTCATCTAGGTATTGTCCATCAGATCACAAAGTATGAACGTGATCGTTCATTTTGTTCGTGAGTTATAATTGAGGGAACTTATCAAATTTTGGCCAAAAATCGCTTGTAATTTGACACTTGATGACGTCATCGTGTCGTCAGAGTAATATGCACGACTCGGGATGAGGGTCGATAAATATTGAAAGTTACAAGTTCATACCATACACCGTCTAGGAGAAAATTGCGGAGAAGTATTGTCCGGAAAAGAAAAGAAAGAAAGAAAGACCCAAACAAAAAAGATTTCTGAGAACAATTCTAGACAGTGGTCGGGCACTCAAAAACTTTAACGAAAACAAAGGCTGTTTCGGCCGGTTGCCGAAACAGCCAAAAAAAACAACAACTAGAGATCTATGTCTGTTTGCAACAGAATATGGGGCTTTTCCGGATTATTATTTTTTTAAAATCAACAACACGTCCCTGACTATGCATGGACAACATTTCAAAGTATACGGTACAAGAATTTTTTAATTTAGCATGTAGCGTCTTTGAGATATATTATCATCGAAGAAATATCTATGTTAAATCAGATGTATCGGACTATGTTCATACGGAATTTTGACCCATTGGGATTGAGTTTTCTCAATATGAGACTTTGAAAAGTGGCCCTTTATGATGACGTCACATGCCCTACGATGACTTTATCTTGACAGCACTTGTCAATGCACATTTTCGCATTGTAAACTTGGTTTGTACCAATTTTGAAGTCAATTCAGGTGAAAGAAAGTGTTCAATTTTGGAGCGGAATGACATTATAAATAGTACAAAAAATCAACAACAAAAAATCAACCGATGACATCATGGTGACATCCTTTCGAATTTTGCATACTAGTACCATTATCTAGCTATCCACTAAGTTTCAAGACAATCGGACTTTCCCTTACATGTGTTTTCAAAAATCACATTTTTGATGACGTCATGATGACGTCACACATTTTTCAAAAATTTGTGCACATATACCTTTTACCTTACAAATCAAATACAAAAAGAATTTTGAATTTTTCATGTTGCGTTTGTGAGATATGGCTTAAAGGTCCAAAACTTTAAAAATTATGCATATAAATTCGCACGATGATGTCACCTCAATATTTACCTAAAACACATCCCGGTCTACCTATGTATACTGAGTTTCAACCCAATCAAACTTATAGTTCTGTTGATATAGGACTTTAAAATATGCACATTTGTCAAGACTGACTGCTAAGTAAGAATTTTCTATTAATCAAACAAAACAAAACAAAGGTATGCACATGCTTTATATTGTAATTTGTTTTATTTCCAAAACAAGTCAACAATTAAAATGAATACCAGAAATGGTAAGGATATTTACATGTATGATAACTAGTGTCAGTGTCAATACCTGAATGGTCATCGTTCTGAATTACACCACATTAACTTGGCGAATGGGGGCGCCATTCACTTTACACGGTGTGCCGTTGTTTTTTTTTTTTTAACGCGCCGTGCGTATTTTGATCGCGTAAAAGTTTTAAACGATTTCACACTGGAATTAATATCGTCCTTCGACGTCATTTTGCATTTCCATCTGTAGAATGGGAACCAGACAATGGAACTTTCATGGGCAGAACACCATTAAAAATTTATGTTAAAATATAGACGCTACCTTACCTTTTAGCAGGTGCGATGAGGGAAAATTTGCAAGTTTTGGAAATCGTTAATATTTATTACACTCATTAAAAGTACCGAAAGGCACAACATTTTTTTTAATTGTCCTTGTTTTATAACTTGGCAGAATGTTCTTAATGCCTGGTGAACTGGATAAAACAAATCGCCACGTGAAGGTGTTTTGGCAACGCAAAAAGAGAAATTTCCTGTGCAAGATCAGGCTCTGTGCCGCTCGTTTACTCTGCCTTGCCTAGCCTGCGTACAACCCACAGCATGTGATTGTATGTACGTCTGTGGTACAACCACAGGCATATAAACGCAACCGTTAAAATTATGCAGCGCCCTCTTTTGGCGAGAATGAAGGGACGTAATATACATTGTGCATGTATGTGCTATACGATGTTTAAAGCGGAGGTGCGGTCAACCTGAATTTTAAGCATGCTGCAGGGCATGTCCAAGTACACTTTTTGCCACCAAACCTAGCAAAGTTTTAGACCTACCCTTAGAGTGTGTTTTGAAACAAAATTCAAGAATATTACTATCAGGGTAGATTTTTTAGGAATTTTCAAAGAAAAGGAGGTTTGTTCATTCTAACTTCCGGTCTGATGATGTCATCATTGTTTTTTTCGCGCACAGGTGTTGTTTGCATTAAGGTCATTATATACCCTCATTTTAAAGCGATTACCGCAAACTTCGCCACAGACATCAACTCAAAATTCATTTTAAACATTTGCGCTCTAACATTTTATGAAGTCACCTGTACATTTTTTGTGAACTACAACCTAACCACAGGCTAACAGCGTGTAAAGCAACTTCATATCTTTTTCTAGTTTTAATTAATAAGCCACTTCCAGTTTGGTCCGGAAGGAAGGGTCACGTGACATTACGTGCACGAGATAAAGTAAAGACCCTGGATTATTATATCAATTCACGCAAACGTCAAGTTCGGGTCTCTCAAGGTTGATTTTATACTGATTTTCAAAGATTAAATCTGTTAATCTTTAACGTGACGTCACGTGGCCCATGATGACGTCATGATGACGTCACTCTGCCGGACACAACTATGCTATAAGGACTATGCCTATGCTGACTTTAAATGATGTACGACAAAGATTAATGCCAAAAGTGGCGTTGAGAAAAGATGTGTACAACGTCTATGGGATTTGCCATGGAAAAAAAACAAGAAGAAGAAGAAGAAGAAGAAACAAAAATCAGAACAAAAAGAAAGGCTTTTCCACAACTATGCGATAAAGCCAAAAAAAGCCAGCACAAAAAGAAAGGCTTTTCCGCAACTATGCGGAAAAGCCAAAAAAATATCAGAACAAAAACAAAGGCTTTTTCGCAAATTAGCGAAAAAGCCAAAAAAAGAATAAAAATCTTAACAAAAACAAAATCTGTTCCAAAAGGTTAACGAATGCAAGAGCTGTTTCTGAGCATGTACTCTGAATCAGCTAAACAAATTGAGTATTTGGTGAGGAAACGATCAGAGCAAAATGTTAAAACCATTCGACAATGTGTTTCTAGGCATTTGAGCATGGTCAGACAACTGCGAAAAAAAACAGTGTCAAATGAAACAAATGCAAGAATCAAATGCAAGAAACATTGGTTCTTTCTGTCTCAAAAGAAAGTTCTCTTAAAGTGTCAAGTAGGTTTCAACTAACTAATTTCAATACTGAAAAATAAATTGCATTGCCTAAATACAAACATGTTATAATGATTAAACCTTTTTATAAGTCAAGAGCGTACCGGTAGTTTGAACAGATTTTAGTATGCAAATTTCATAAGAAATTATTACTGCATGTATGCCAAAGATATACAAAAATTTGAAATTTTAAACTTTTGAAAAGTAGGCGAATGATCTTATAAAATAAAACAAAAGTAGCTACAGGAACCCCAAATTTTAGTCCCCAAATTTGCTTGAAAAATTGTCCTGTCAATTCAAGTTATATACAAGCATGTATTATAGCATGGCTTATTAACTAAAACCAAATAATTCACTCTCGATTTCTTGACTGATCTCTCCATAATTATGTCGTGATTTCTAAGTGCATGGTATCAGATATTTGTATGAACAGTGTAAGCCTGTCAAGTAATGCCTGCATAATACTTTTTTGTGTGTAATTTTCCGCAATTACAATACATGTCACTTCAGTTTCTAGACAATTCTTTTAAAATTAGATTTGAGTTTATCTCCGTGTACCACAATCGGGTACATGTGGTCTACATTTTAATTTTTTTTTTTAATCTCTTTAACAGATACTGACTTTGATGATGTACGCTCTGACTTTGAAGAACGTTTCCCCTGTATCAGATTTAGCGATAAACAAAGGTAAATTATGTAATGTTATTGTCTCAATGCAATATTTGTTCATAACACCATTTTGCCTAATCCTGGCCAGTGCTGTAGTTAGGATGAGATTGTAGTGCAGGGCTATTTGCTCTAGAAGAACTAAAGCCGTGTCCGCACTGGACTTTTTTTGGGGAAGGTTTTACCGAGAGGAGGTTAAAATGAAAAATGGTCAAATGTGACTACTGTCCACACTTGGACTTTCAACTTGGACTTTCAACATTGAAAGCAAGTATACATCTTTTGCCAATTTCAAATTATAAGGCACTTTCGGTTTCTACCGAAAGGAAGGGTCATGTGATCTTGCACTTAATACCAAAAATGAAGACCCGGCAATATTGTATTGATTGTCATAACTAACTTTGTATTGAAATAATTTTTTATTGAAATAAAAGTTCAAATATATCAAATGACAAGGATCTATATGTCAGTTATATAAAACAAATATTGAGTGGCTTTAAATTATGAAATTGGAGGAACATTATCGCTCGGTAAAATCTGGGCTTTTCCTGTTCACTCGGCTTCGCCTTGTGAAATGAAAAAGTCCAGATTTTACCTTGCGATAATAGTCCTCCCATTCCACACTGATCCACTCAATATTTGTATGCTATCAATTCCCGTATAAAGCAAAATCAGATCTCTCACATTTGATATTATATTGATTTTCAAAGATTAAATCTATAAATCTTTGGTTGCTTGAAATCTGATACTTGGTGACATCATAGTGACGTCATTACAAGCAAGCTCGCGAGCTATGTGAACTGTGTTTGATGCAGAATCGGGATTATATCGGGATTATATTCCCACAGGTGTTGTCTTTATTATGGTCCTCATACCGGTATATATTAATTTTAAAGCGATTACTGCATCTTCGTCACACACATCAACAGATTTTTCATTTTAATCATTTTTCAATCTGCCGCTAGAGGGCTCCAGTGTTGGAATCAAGACCTCAAAGACCGAGACCGAGACCTCATAGTCCGAGACCGAGATGTCATTTAAAAAACACACACACAATAAGTAGCAAGTTGTGTACAAACGTGTGCACATATCAATGCAAATTTAATACCAAAACTCTTAAAAACTTGAAATAAATAACAACTAATGCTGTACCATGCCTTTAAAAAATAGCCGGGTACATTTTGGCAAGATTTTTTAATGGTTTGATATTCTTATGGTTTGACTAATTCATACAGGTAGTTTTTAACATGAAAATAACTATTAACCCTTACCCAACTGGACCCTCCAACGCATGCCATTATGTGCCTTAAGAAAATGGCATATGTTTTTTGCACGGCCCTCCAATATCTGCCATGTCATTTCAAGGGTAACTGGACAGGCACTCCAATACATGCCACAGAGAACAATGAGAGTCCTCTGATAACAAAGTGAGTGCCCCCAGCTGGTCAGTATCAGGCACCCTCCAGGGCCTCCAACTCCTGCCAATTGGAGCCTTCACTGTTAAGACAAACTATCTGCCAATAAACTGCAGCTGGAGGGCATTGGCATAACCAACTGACATGCAGTAAACTACCCTCAGAGAGTAAGGGTTAATAGTCACAGCAATTATACTTTGTTTCATCAACTTCAACATAACTGAACTTGTAAATTGTCAAACAACATGTAAGAAAAATTTCAACATGGCGAACTTGGCCCTCAGCCCAGCTACACACGGTGACATACCTCATCCTGGCTCTACATCTGTAAGGTTTTCCCTTGTTTAATGTTAATTCAAATTGACGGAAATGTTGGTTCAATTATTTTTGAGGTAATATTATATAAATAATTTACATAAGGCGGTAGGTACGTACTTTACTTTGTGGACACGACTTACGAGCCCGATGAAGGCTGAACTCGTCCCTGCCTGGTTGGTAATACGCTTCTGACTGAAACAAAATCTGCAGGTAGCCGAGTGCTTTCTTTTATCTGATGTTTTGTCCACAATCTATGTATCAGAGATGCCACTTTTCCGGTATTAACCGGAATTCCGGTTTTAAAAAAAAATCTCACAAAATTCCGGTTTTTCCGGCCGTCAAATTAACCAGAAAAAGAAAAGAAAACTGTGGAAATGCGATGATTTTTACCTCGATTTAGTACATTTTGCGCACGCATGGCACAACGTTGTTCGTTGAAGTAGTCTTAAAAACAGTCTTTGTGTATGTTGTTGCGGAGCCTGCATGCGATACAAGCGGCCAACGTACTTGCACGCGATATACAACAGCGCCTCGCGCGTGCTTCACCGCGTGCGGGCGTGTTGTGTGCTAAGCAAACGTAGCATTCAGCCTGGAAATCAAGTCTATCATTTCAGCTATCGGTGGTTTCTGATCGCAGTGATATATGTGAATACAAAAAATGCGGGTACCAACCATGTTTTCGTTAAGCGCATCGCGTAGTGCAAGGATCGTGTACACCGACAGCGTGTTGTGGAATCGTGCACGTTTTGTGTCGAATATTACGTTGAAAATTCGGGTAGGCAGAATAAATATTAGGAATATGGAAAAAGTCAAAGTGATTGAATGAACCGACAGCTTTAAAGGCCATAGAAGCAAAATTAAAAAATAAACAGAACTTGGCTTGGCTACAAGATAAAGATGACAATGTGGACTTTGTGTTGGACACGGAGTGGCTTTTGCACACGTACAAAAAAGTTCCGTTTTTTTTCAAGCAGCCGTTCTGTTTTTTTTTTCAAGCAGACCAAGTTCCTTTTTTTTTCGAGCAGACCCTGTGGCATCTCTGATGTGTGCTCCTTAAAAGCAAATTTTAGGTTTAACGAGTTGCTTGACATAATTTCTAATTTGACAAGACAGCACTTTATAATGATTAAACGTCAACTCAAAATAATTTCTGAAATATTTAACGTTACACCACGTTATACTACGAGCGAGAACGTTCCTGCATGGATGTTTACATGCAGTGACTACACACATCCACCGTGCGCAATGTATTTTTGCACACACGTGATTGACGTCACGACACACAGTTTGTTAACGGATTTTGACAAACAGTCCATGCTACTTACTAACTGAGCGGCGATATGCTAGCGATAAGCGTGCTCTCCATGCGGAAATTCTTTTGACATGCACTATGCGTTATGATTTACCCTGGTGAAACAGTGTTGACTCCATCAGCGGTTAATCAAATAATTGTCTTCAAACACTCTGGAATATTCAACAGGTCTCGTCAAGGTCTTGATCCGAGACCCTTGTCCAGGACCGAGACACTTGGAGTCGAGACCGAAACCACAACATTCCGAGACCTCAAAATCGTCTAGACCTGAAAAAAATGGTCTCGAGACTAGGTCGAGACCTCCAACACTGGAGGGCACTGTAATATTTTATGACATCATCGGTAATTGTTTTGTAAAGTTACTTGCCAGTCACTTGCCAGCAACCAGTATCGTTGAAAGCAAGTACACATCTTTTTCCACTTTCAAATTATAAGGCACTTCCGGTTTGGACCAGAAGGAAGGGCCACGTGATTTTGCATGCGCGAGATAATATAAAGATCCTGAATTATTCTATCAATTCCTGCAAAAGGTAAGTTCAGGTCTCTGACAGTTGATTTTATATTGATTTTAAAAGATTAAATCTGTTAATCTTTAACGTGATGTCACGTGACCCACGATGACGTCATAATGACGTCATAATGAATAATCACATCTTCAGTACGTTGTGTACTCATGTATTCAAATTCAGGTTGATAAAGGTTTTCATGTGGACAAACAGTTCTTGAAATGAATTTGCATAGGAGAATAGTCAACAAATACAAAAATACAATAGAGGTTGTAGGAACAACCACATGGTGTGGGCTATTGAATACTTCGGCATGCACATCAAATTAAATGCATGTTTGACTTTGTCAATATGCCGCTAGAGGACACTCTAACATTGTATGATGTCACCTGTAATATTTTTGTAAAGTGCAGCCTAGGCAGAAATTCACATCATTGAAAGCAAGTTCACACATCTTTTGCCAATTTCAAATTATAAGGCACTTCAGGTTTAGACCGGAAGGGTCATGTGATTTTGCACTTAATACCAAAAATGAAGATCCTGCAATATTGACCTATCGCCGTTTGCGAGTTAACCACGCCCCTTAGACAACGCTATGGAATGTTGTACGCTAAGTTTTGTTCGTCTCAGAATTTGCGCATTCTGCACCATTTGTATATGGTGTAATTGGACAATATTTCACAAGCTGCGTTGACGCGATTCTAACGCGATTCTTCCGCGATGGGTCAATTGTATCGGTTGCCATAAAAAACAAACAAATCTCTATCAGTTGATTTTGTTTTGATTTTCAAAGATTAAATCTAGAAATCTTTATTTGTTTGTAATATGATATTACTATACCTCATAAATATTCATCAGGCAACCATGGCATTTCATTGGGCCATTCTAGCTATTCAACCGTGTGAAAGTTTTTACTATCACCCCGCGTCTTTGTACGCGCGCGTGACGTGCAAAAACCAGGGAGGTACTATCACACACCTGGGTCGCAGCCTTAGATTTGTTCCAGTACTGTGTTATCTCTTTACCAACAGGGCATGTGCTTTACGTGCGTACCCTGAAGAACACCAGTGAGGACAGTTGCATGTGCCAGTCTATTACAGCATACATAAAAAATGGCGACCGGTGGTGCTCGCTTTGCGATTTTACCCGAGGAGGAACTTGATGGAAAATTTATACAATAATAATAAATGCAAGTGTTTTGCATGAATGTTTAAGTTATTAAATGACACAAACTTAACTTTCAATTCTGTATGTCTCCTTAATTAAATTAAAATAATGTCTCACTTTATCCAAATACTGCACAATCAAAAACATGGTGGAATGGAGGAATGAAGTACCGCAGCTGCCTGATGAATATTTATGAGGTATATTAAAACAAGTACAACGTGTTTTTGCGGTGAAATAGTGAAAACTAATGACTCCTCGGTGTTGAATGATTGGGACTACCGGTATCTCCCGAGGCGAATCATCCAACACCTCGGGGTCATTAGTTTTCACTATTTCTCGGTAAACCATGTTGTATTTGTATACTTGATGACGTCACTGTGACGTCATTACCAGAAAGCTCAAGAGCTATGTTAACTGTTCAATATATAGCCACATATTGATTATATCTCTCACTGTTGATTTTTTGGCAATTTTTAAGGTTTAAATGTCTTTTCATTGTAACTTCCGGTCTGATGACGTCATCATTTTTTTCATGCACAGGTCTTATCTGCATTAAGGTCATCATATATATTGATTTTGAAGCGATTACTGCAAATTTCGCCACACACATCAACTG